TGTCCCCAAGGTCATCCAGCATCTTCTTACGTCTTCTTCCTCGTCTTCTTGTCACTTCTATCCGCCCATCTATCTTTCCTTCGATAGCTTCTTTTAGAAGGCAGTTTCTGCGTAAAACATGACCAATCCAATTAGCCTTCCGTTTTCTTATTTCATGTAGGATATTCCTCTGCTCACTGACTCTAATTAACACTTCTTCATTTCTCACATAATCGGTCCAACTGATCTTCTCCATTCTTCTCCAACACCACATTTCGAAACTTTCCAGATGTTTCTGATCTACTGCCCTAAGTGTCCATGTTTCAGCCCCATACAGAGCTATGCTCCAAATGTAGCATTTCACTAGTTTCTTCCTCAAATTTAAGTCCAATTTGCTGGTAAAAAGATTCTTCTTCTTGCTAAATGCAGCTTTTGCCATGGCAATCCTGCATTTAATTTCATATGTACACCTTCCATCATCTGTTAACAAGCTACCCAAATATTTAAAACATTTCACATTCTCCACTTGTTTTTGGTACAGAAATCATACGACCCTTATTCAGATGAAACATGTTCGGGGATTATTCTTTGCCTAGGAGTAGAGGGACCTTTATAAGTCCCCTACTGGGCGTTGAAGCAGGGATCCCATTGATGTATCAGCCGATGGTCCTCTCCACAAGGAACTCATTTGGCTGTTGTTGGAAGTGCTGCACCGCCAGGCTTTTATTTCGAAATGTAGCCCTAATCTACTACACTCAAACCGTCACAACCTGGGACTCTGCAACACTCCAAGACCTACATTACGCCATCAACAGTGTTCCGGCATGTTCACGAGGACTGTCATAGTGTTGCAATGGTAGCAAACGTCCCTCACCATGTGGCTCATGGGACACGCTGCCCTATATGGACCATTTCCCGTACGATCTTATGACCTCCATGCTGTTGACCGTCCTCAGAGAAAGTGCTAATGGAAGACGCCAGAACCGCGGTGGTGCAGTGGCTCCAAGAGCAGCCTTCCTGCCTCAGCGCGTTTAGAGAACATTTTAACTACGTTTACCCCTTCGCCCAGGAAGGTCCTCAGAATGGTTTTGTATGAAGACCCTCACAGTATATAAAACTGTGTTGAGGCTGTAACAAGGTTATCCCCCCTATAATATTCTTTTCTACATTTTCCAGGACCTATACCCTTTTTATCATCAGTGTACTGAAATTATGTCATATTTCGACGAAACATCGACAATTGTAGTAATGTCAGCAGTTGCATATTATTGCACTTGCCATACGCGTTCTCTGATCGTACTGAGTATTCAGAAAGTTTGAGGATGTGCGCTAAGCCTACTCACGTTGAAAGTTGTGTACATGCCTGATCTGTAAACATCTTCTGTTTATTTTGACAGCGGTTTTAGTACACTGCACAAATAGTCATTATGTTAACCAGTGATGAAGCTTTCCTTTTTATCTAATTGAGATGCTAAGTTACTGTCGGCAACCTTTTCGAAAGCAGAGTTGAAACATCGGCAACTGTGCAAATGAATGATCAAAATATCAGAATACTTTAGGACGTACTTTTTTTTCCCTTTGGCGCTACAGCCCCAATTTGGGCCTAGGCCTACCTCCATGAAACTCTCCGTTTCACTTCGGTTTACTAGATCTTACACATACGGTGGGGCTGATTGGGCGAGTGATCAGCTCGTCGCAAGGCCTCTACCTGTAGACAAACACAGAAAAACGCGCACAAACATCCATGCCCTGAGTGGGATTCGAACCCACGATCTCGGCTTCCGAGGGAGCGAAGACAGTACATGCCTTAGACCGCTCGGCTACCGTGACCGGCTTAGGACGTACTTCCCCTCTCATAATTTTATGCAATAGGTTTAAGATATTACTTATTTATGTAGCTGAGCCCTCCTTGAAGGGAAGCCAAATCCCCGTAACAAGCCTTGGACGCCCATAGGGTTGTGAGATGTTGAAGTTCAGGGTTCAGACATATTTAAATTTAATATCGATTATGAGTTGGTTGTCCAAGTGTATAGTGCACATAGCGATAAGGAAGTCATGATCGTTCGTTTCTTTGGTTTGGTTCTCGTTCCATCTGCCCCCATGTCCTGTTTCCGGAAATGCTGAACGAATTTAGGCATAATTTTACTCCAGGGGTATGAACCAGGACTTATTTAATACTTTAATTGCGATCCGGTCCGTGATAGTATCTTTATGAAACGAACTTCATCCGTGTTCTCAAAATCGGCTGACCGTTTAAATGTATAGAGTCTACGCGATATCACTGAGATATAGTGCCTGCAGCCTACTTATGACATTTTAACTGTACAGATTAACTATTTTAGCGCTTATTTGCGTCACAAGCGTGCAACATACGGCAGTGAATACGAAACTTTTAATATTTGTATGACCCTAGCGTTGGGGGCACTATGCCACAAGTCTGAAGGTCGCGGGTTCGATTACCCATGACATCATTGGATGTTTCAATTGACCTAAGCCTTCCAGTCGCACTGTGGCCCTGGGGTCGACTCAGCCTCTAATAGAAATGAATACCGGGAATTTTCCTCGGGATAAAGGTGCGGCCTACGTTTAAGGCTAACAGCCTCACCGCCATCTATGAGCCGACTGTCTAGAAATGTGGGAGCCTGGACTTTTCACAACCGTATGGGCCTCCACAACCTGTTACAGAAGTAGCTTTGCCTTTTTTATGACAATAGTCTTAAAAACTTATTGTTCTTCATGCCTGGGTTTTTAATGTTGCACGAAATATACAAGAGAATATCAATGTGTCCATCTTCTCTTCATTTACTTAGTGAACAGTAGATTTGAGAAGCCGGGCTAGCTCAGTCAGTATTTTGACTATTCACGGGATGGACGAACGACGTTCGAGTCCCGACAAGGACAAGAATTTATCCCTTCAACACCGCATCCAGACCGACTGCTGTAAAACCGTACAGCCTCATATCGAATGGGTGTCGGGATAAATCGGCTGAAGCGTGAAGCTTTTCGCTCATCCCCAAGAATATATATATCTTCGCGGCGTGATGATTAATTAAACACTAGGACATGTTTGCCTCCAAGCATCTGTGTTATTCTGCCCAGCGGTTGAAAATGATGATCATTAAGTGGACAGCATCACGTCTCACCGCTGTGAGCACAATTACATACATGTATTTTGAAAGTTGTGCAATTTTATAACAATTTAAATGAGGGCGTTCTTTTTGTATCTCAGCATAGAGTATGAATAAGAATTTACAGTAGTAACCGTGGAATCTTGCTCGAGTGAACATAATACATTTGTTGTTGAAGTTGAAAGAACGCCACCTGACAAACTGCATAGAGTACTGAAGGATGTGAGAATGTGGACAACGTGTTGTGTTCGCAACGGTCGTGGCCATGTGATGGACATGACTCTGAAACGCTGAGGAGTATAATACAAGTATTTTGAATATGTTATGAAACTGTATTAATAATAAAGGCCTTCTATTTGTAAAGAAGCCTAATAATTTTGTACTTAAAATGGGTTATATTGTTTTTGTTGTGCGACTTCATCCATTGTATCTACACGTGCCTGTGTAAAGTATGTCAGGCGATTGTTCTGTACTGCTGGTAGTTTTATCATGGCATATGCATCGCGTCAGTCAACACCTCAGGGGTTTGTTTTTTCCAACACTTTGGGAAAGGTTTCATTTGCTTACTGCATGCCCATTGAGCAATACTCGTAAGTTGCGTGGTATGAATATCACAAGATGTGGGTAGCACCACAAGATGGAGAAGTAGAAATTTGCAAACAGTTACCAATTGTGCATTGCATATAACGTTTCACTTATTACAATATTTTGAAATAAAATATTGCTAATGGGGTGGGACTATGCCCCTTGTACTGCGGCCACTTCTGGCCTATTGTTCCAACCCCAGATGATAGTTGAGGGTGATTGTGGAGCAATTGGTGGAATGAAGATTGGCAGCGGAAACCGAAATACTCGGAGAAAACCTGCCCGAGCGCCACTTTCCACCACAAATCCCACTTGACCAGACCCGGAATCGAACTCTGGCCGCCGCGGTAGCGACTAACCGCTTGAGCTATGGCGCGGCCTTACATTTTGAAATAACTTATAATTTGATTTAAATATTGCTTTGAGCAAACAGCGTCGTTAAATAACCAACAGACCATTGACCAAATTTTGCCTGAGACAAATACCACAAGATTTGGGTTGTGGGTTATTTAAGGACGCCCTCAATATCAAACTATAAAGCAACACAACATGTGGAAATAGAACTTTGAAATTAAAGTTTGTTTTTCTTTATATATAGTAATATTTACTTTGCTGCGACACTTTAATACATGTTACATTTGACTTTAAACGATGTTTATATATTGTAGCTTTAAACTTAAAATATAGGCACGCGTAATTCGCTGCGTGCGTGTAATGCTTAGCAACGGCTGTTTCTGTGGCTCAACAGTTCTTGCATAGAGTAAGGCACGCAACAGTAGAACAACGGGTTTATATAATCCGTTTCTAGGCAACGGCTCGGTAAACACATTTCCGCATATCGGACCATGCTATGCAACGCGGTGGCGTCATCAACAATACAGACTGCTACGTCTGAGAAATGCGACGTGTTGTGGTGACACTGAATATTGGGCCAGCAGTCCATACAAATTGCAGTTGTGTGCCACATGCAGTTTGTGCTTACACGTGGAAACAGGTTGCGACGTGGAGATTTAAAATTCTATGTTTTTAAGGTTGTGTATTGGCACGTGTTTAAGTGGACACGCGTGACAAGTTATTGAGCAATGTATTCATGGAAGGGCAGTGGATAGTCAATGCTATTTTACGATCTCGTACTGCTGCTAACCCTAATTACTCTACATCCTTATTGGATAAAAGGATGTTGGAAAAGTGAGAGTCCGACAAAATATATCGTAGTACTGTTCTTTTCGAACCCGATTCAGCGCAATTAAGGTTTCTAAGAAACCCGTTTCCCCTTCTTAATTTCTTTATCAATAACTGTAGCAGCGGTTTTGGAAAGAACGACGCTATGCAGTGACCACTACTTTCAATATATTTTTAATTTTATTGTGAATTTTTTCTAGCCTTTGAACCATGCCTTTTCTTTATATTCGTGGAATTGTTTGAAATAACGCCTCTTCTTTTCCTTTCCTTTTTTGTCGATTTCCACAGTTCCTTTATTATATCAGCACCCTTTTCAGCGATCATATATACGGGTGCATTTATATTTCCACTGGTAATAGTGGGCATAATGGATGCATCTATTACTCTCAACCCCTGAATGCCGTGCACTTTTAGTTCATGATCAACAACCGCAAATGGATCGTCTGCTGGGCCCATTTTGGCCGTTCCAGACATGTGATAAATGGTCATCGTGTATTGCCGTATGACACATTCCCAGTATTCATCCGTGAAAAATTCGTAGCCATTGCAGCCAGGAACTACTTTTCTATAAAACCGCGTGCCGAATCTCTTCATTGAAGCGGTTTCTCCCACCGCAATTGCTGCTTTGACCCCTTCTCTCATTACCCTCACATCATCAGGATGGGTTAAATAGTTATGGTATATCAGAGGATAATCCATTGGATCATTGGTTCGTAGCTTTATGTACCCACGACTCTTTGGGCGCAGAATCATGGGAAATATTCCAAAGGTGTCTCTCTTGTTGATAGGTGCGAAATATTCATCGTAGAATTTTTGGGTTATGCAGTGAGCTTTCCTCGTTTGTGTGCCTCCATCTGAAGACGTTGTAGTTGCCGTCATCATGAACTCTATGTCGGGCCAGTCGTCGGTCTGGTTAGCATATTTCGTCGAAATGAAACCCACGGTTTCGAGACCGATGTTGGAAGTTAGCGGTCCATCTCCTTGCACGGCGTACCGCAGCGCATTGTTGAGGTTCATAAAGCGGTCTATGAGGACACTGACCGGATAGTCAATCTGGAAGGCAATTCCTCCTATGGCAATGTGATCTTGCAGATTCTGCCCAACACCCGGAGCGTCGTGAATGACTGGTATTTTCTTTTGCCGCAGATGTTCCGCTGGCCCTACTCCAGACAGCATGAGCAGATGCGGTGTGCCAATTGCTCCCGCTGATAGAATCACTTCTCTGCTTGCAAGCACTACTTGCTTTTTGCCACCACGGATGAACTCTACTCCAAAAGCACGTTTAGTGTTAGGGTCTATAAGCACTTTCGTTACATGACTCCACATAGCAATATGAATATTCTTCCTTAACCTCACCGGACGTAGGAAAGCTTTGGCACTACTGCAGCGATATCCACGCCGCATATTGTACTGAAATAAAGCAAAGCCTGTTTGTTTTTCACCGTTGATGTCTCTATGTTCGTACCCCATCTCTACCCCGGCCTGCACGAGCGCAATGCCGAGAGGTGTGTTCCAGGGAGCGTCTTGAACCGTGAGATAACCTCCAGTTCCGTGATATTTTGTGTTGTTTGCAAGGTATGGATTCCGTTGATCTTCAGACTTCTTAAAATATGGCAGTACTTCGTCATATCCCCAGCCGGGGTTGCCTAAACTCTCCCATAGGTCGAAGTCTCGGCGATTGCCACGGATGTAGAGCATTGTGTTGAGGACACTGGAGCCCCCGAGGACCTTACCTCTGGTCCAGCAACATCGCTTGTCCACCATAGCTTGGCATGCTGAGGCTTGAGGCTGCGTTCTGTATTTCCAGTCTATTTGGCTTCTGTGTAGATATATAGAGAGAATAGGAACATCTGCTATTTCGGGTTCATCACCCCCGGCTTCCAGGAGAAGAACATTAAAGTTTTGCACCTCTGTGAGGCGGTTAGCGAGCACGGCGCCTGCAGTACCACCACCTATGATGACGAAGTCGTATTTTGGAAGGACTTCCTTGACATTTATTGGCCTGTTCTCCGGATCGAAAAGGTCATAGTGATAATAAGCGAAGGCTGCTAGGAATGTAGGCAGAAACCAAAGTTTAGTTCCCAGTCCTATGATACTGACCGCCAATTTGGTGGCCCCAGATACAATGGCGACCAGACTCATCCTGGCATTTTCAGTTCTTTGAGCTGTCACTAGCACACGGCTGTCGCACTCTATGCAACACTGTGAAGATTGTGATGTATTAAATTAAATGAGACTAATTAGACACCGTAGTACCTAATGAAATAGTACGAGCCATTTCACATGTAAACGAAGTACAGAAAATTGTTTACTAAATTCAGTCTCACGATAAAAGTCCTCCTGGCTCCAAACATTGGATTGCACTCACTTTTTCGTCACACTGGTTTCAGTCATCGTATTTCGGAGATTCACTAACGTCCTAAAACTGTAAAGGATAGATATTCATTATTGTCTTACTAATGTTTTTAGTGTCGCCACATTCAGCTTCTTGCCGATGATATGAATTCAGCACCACCCATATAATCGGGGAAGGAGAATTCCCACACGGTGTTCGTTGACTGCGAAAACGAAACCGTTACGAAAGTGATCTGGTGCCTATTTCGTGATTACGAAAGAGTATTGTAGCAATAAAGAAAGTTAATTAGAATTTGGGAAAGAAAGTGGCAGCAAGACATCTGGCACTTAACGAAAACACACCATAGTAAATACCACTAAGTAATTTGTTAAATTACATGAGAAGCTTCAGTAACACGCACAACTTAAAAATGTCACACAAAGTAGTTGCTTGTCTTGCGCCTGCTCACTTCAGTTGTGGCCAGTGACGGTAGTGGAGTAGCGCCTTGGGACTGTTCTACATGCAGCCTGCAGTCCTCAGCACCGTGCTGAATACCTGAATAGAGAGCATTATGTAACAGTTCTTCAGTGGGATACCGGATAGACTGTTACATAAGATACAGAAAATCATAACACAAAAACGTTTTCAGAATAGTTAACAAATTACATATTTAAAAAATGTTAAAAGTATCGTAAAATTCAAAGAAGTTGAAATACTAATCATGGAATTTTTCAATTATGTAAAATAATTATTTGAAGTATCTGCTTCAGTGAAACACATTTTAAAAAATATATATACATGCATTGTGAATGTAAGCTTTTCTTCCTGGCAGTGATCTGTATCTTATGAAACAGAAAACATGAATTATTCCGAGGTTTAATGTATCAATGTGCGCTGTCAGTATTGCCACTGGCTCTGCCACATTACTGCAGAATAATGGCGTTTTGTTTACTGTTAGTTTAGATTCTTGGGCCTATAGGCCTACTCGCTATTAGGCCCAGTTACATTTACTTTATCTTCATTCATAATTCTGTTTATAAACACGACTGAAACAGCTGTGTTATTATGAAACTAATTATTGATATTGTCTACATTTTTGCACTCAGCTCATAATTGTTATTTTCGTTTTTTTTTGTGGTTTATATTAGGACACTTGTACGGCGTCGAACGGTAGGATAATTGATGTGTCATTAATTGGAAATTATGTAGAAGGAAATATTCATGGAGTAGTATGGACTAAGGTATACCACGAAAGCCCTGTCAGGATAGTCGGTTTCACGGCCGAGGCGAACCTGGTATATTTCTAATGCAGATCCAGGACACGCACAACTACACCATTTGACTCTGAGCTTCACGTTCATACTCTACACCAAACACCATTACAGTGAGTAAACTAAGGAGCTTGAGATGGGCGTGGCCTGTAACTCGCTTGGGGGAAATGAGAAACGTATACAAAATTTTACTCGGAAATTACTACTTCGCTGACGTATAAAAGATAGTATTAGGGCTTAAAATGAATTCATTTGGCCCAGGATGGGTAAAAAGGTAAAGTTGTTCATGTGCTTAACTAATTAAGCACTTCGCCATGAAGACGTGATGGGGGAGTGGATGTATAGATCCACATTTCTTTACTTCGGCAGTAGTTGGTGAGTGGTCATCTTCACGCCCCTGCCGTCTTACCCCCCGGTACCCATTGGTTAGGAGTCTGGGTGGGCCCCAAACCCGGTCTGGGCGACGTGGAGAAAATTCTTGAGCCTACCGGGACTCGAACTCCGACCCCTCGGTCGTCCAGCCCGTAGCCAGTCACTATACCGACTGCGCCATCCAGGCTTCCAGGATAGGGTCTTGTGAAAAATAGGAATGAATCTTCGTGTTCCTCAACAGTNTCTTTTCTTTTATATACCAGACGATGGGTGAAGTCCAAAATTATCCAGAAGTGCTGTATACACCATCGTCAGAATCCTTTCAAGACCATGATTTATTTAAACCGTCTTGCAGTGCATACACTCATTTGTCTCCTTCTCTCCCTCGCACTACATGTTTCCTTTCAAGACTATCAGCTTATCAGGGACTCTGCTGCAAAACATTGTGCACTTGACTTTCATAGTGAATACAACTGACGGAGGACCTTCGTGATTTCTGGTTCCGAACTAGGAGGTTAACATGGCCAGGTTATTCAGTCACATAGTGCCTTCTGTCTCCTCGTGAGTTGTCTATTGTCATACCTTTATCATTCGTTATGCTGATTGCATTCCTTTGCTGCCTCGAATTACGATTACGGAATGCTTTCACAGGTGAAATCGTCTCCTTTCCTGCCGCTCTTATCTTGTTTCCGGTTTGCCAACCATGTTTCAGGTTGCAGTGTTAATGTAGTTTGGTAGTCGTGTCTTGCTGGTCTTCTGAGAAAGTTCATCGGACACGTTCCTGAAATGGAAAACATTGACACTGTCAGATAACTGTTTGAGTTAAACTTAGCTCCGTTAAACACTTTTATTCGGCAGAAATTCAGTATCAAAGTTTTGGTATATCTGTCAATGGAATTATCTCTTATTACGTATATTTTATTTAACTTAATTTGAGCAGCTTGCCCCCCCCCCGNGCCAATAATCTTTCTCTGTTCTGCCCTTTTTTTTTGGGGGGGGGGTCTGGTTGCATGAAGTGAACCCGCAGTCCTGATGTATTCGCCCATCTTGGAATATTTAATCTAAGAAAAATATTAAATAGATTTTGATTAATTTAGTAGTTTAGTGTGCAAATTAATTCGGACAAAATGGAAAAACTTCAATTTTTTACATTTAATTATTCTAAATCTTCAAATACAATTCTCTCACAACATTTTAGTAAGAAATGTGTCCCCCCTTCGCTAAAATTACTTCCTAGACACATCTTGGCATTGGCTGAACCAGTTTAGGCAAATGCTTTTCACTCCACTGTTGTGGAATCACTCTTATCACGTTCGTTACCACGCTTTCTTCAGTCGAACCATCCATTTTACCCAGACGTTTCTTCAGCATGCTCCACAAATTTTCGATTGGGTTCATGTCTGGAGAATTACCAGGCCAAACGAGCATGCTATTTTTGTTTTCTTGAATGGACTTCTTGTCTACTTTTGAGTTGTGTCATGGTGGAAGGTCGTGTTGAAATGTTCCTCTACCACCTACAAAGGTCTGCAGGAATGGCAAAACTCTACTTTTAATGATTTCGATGTACTTTCATGAATTCATCACGCCATCAACTGAAACTAGGCTCCCAGGACCACTTGCAGTGAAAAAACCCCAAACAATTTTCAGGAGGTATATTACAGTCTGCTGAAGATTCTCCGCTTTCACTGGTTTATCACTGCTTCGTCTGACAACACTTACTGTGTAACCTTGAACAAAAAAAAAAGTGATTCATCACTGAAAGCCACATTCCATGATCTATACTTAATTTGCCATGCCAACAGTTTCTGCTTCATGGTAGGTGTCAGTATTTCCTTTATTATTGGTTTTCTTGCCTTCCACCCAACTTCGAGACACCTACGTCAATCCCTGAAGTCAGTAAACTTCTTTGAAGGTCCTTACTTGTCACAGTCGGATGTAACGTACTGTTTCTCAGAAGAAGCTGATCAGTACGAGGAGTGGGTTTTCGTTTTCTTCCGTATTTTCCTTTTCTGTTTGGAGAAAGTGATATGGAATCCCTGTAAGCAGAAAGAATTCTTGACACACTCGATTTTCCCACACCAACAACGGGGCAATGTACGTGTATCTCACAGTCATTGATGTGCGTTCATTAAGAACAACAATTTTTGCCAGTTTTATCATGTAATGTCCATTTTCACAATCGCAGAAACAAAAATTATCCTAGGGTTAAATCAGCAGGCACTTGGCGAAAGACACAAGCTGTCAACTGATAACGTGGCAACCTTTCCCGTGAGACCCGGTTTGCAGTCGCGTTCCTGTTAGACAAGGTCACGCTTTCACAGAAATCCGAGGTAAAGAAGCCGGTTTTGACTATCTGCAACCAGCAGAACTTGATTGTAATCGAAGTAAGTGCTTATTCCGATTAATTTGCACACTACTGTACTAGGTGGTATACACTAATGTTACAAAATATGGATAAACGACCTAAGGTAAAGAAAATTGGCATGAGATTTGGTACAGGGAATGTAAGAAGCCGGTATAGGACAGGTTCGCTCATGCCAGTTGCGAAATAAATATAGAGATTTAAGCTAGATTTAGTGGGAATATAGGTCAGATGGGACAGGAGTGTTACAAAGTGAAGTTTTGGATCTTTATGAGATCTTTTTTTAATGCTAGACACCAATTTCCTGTGTGATGAGTCATCTTTTTGTATTATAAAATAATTCCATTGGAGCTACATGTAAAAAAAAATGTGGGTTATTTTGGACGTATTGAAATTACATTCATCTGGCAGCATTTTTGCTTACACTTTGGAGCTTCCTTCGAAACGTCGGAAAACCTTTGCCATACTGAATGGCTTCCCACTGCCAAATATTATCTAAAAGTGCCCTTTTTTTTAATTTCCTAAGTGAAGCATGCGAACAGAGAAACTAAATGATACAACCATCACTTTCTGAATTCATTTTATACAGTTCGTTTTAATAATGCATAATGACATGCATGCTGTTGTGTGGACAGAATTAGAGTGACGTTCTGAAGTTCCACTCTTATGCGGTGTGTGACTTCCTGTACACAGAGAACCTGTAACGTAGCGAACACTGCAGTCCGATGTGAATACTTTCTTTTGTTTACTTCCGGACCGTTCGACTGTGAATGTTTCCTGAGACGCCTGAGAAAGAACTGGTTTAATAGTACGAGCAATCTCGGTAACACTAGGAAGAGACCCACTTGTATTATGGCCTCCCATTCACTATACCCAATTAGTGAAGAGACTTATGAAATTACACATAATTTTTCTTTCTTCGAGAGGTTCAGAGGTAGCTTTGGTTCAGTATTGTTTCCCTGTGATCATGATTAATTGAT